CAATCTTACACTCCACACACTTTGTCATGAAACCCGGACCTTGAAGGCATCCGTCCAGTCACTGCAGTAGAGCGGCAGCCGTCTACGCAAGTCATGCCGCAACCCGCCTGCCAGTTTACCCGTGAACTCCAAAGGTCCGAAGTCCTTGGTGGCTGTGTGCCGGATGTAGCCGGACTCATTGCGGATCACCACCTCGGCCTCAGTCATGATGTGGGAGCGCTGGGGCGGTGCGAGAAAATGCGAAGGCAGAACCCTGAGCCAAAAAATGCTCCAGCGGAAGCGCCCATGCATCGGGGCAATGTCTACCGCTTTGCAACTGCTGCCATCTGCCCCGGGACCTGCAACTATGCTGATCCAGGATCCGGAATGCTCATCATGTTTACTACGGCCATCGTGAAAGCCATCGCTGTACGATAGATAGAGTTTACAGGCAAAATATCTGCTTGATGTTGCAAAGTTCTGCTAAAGCCTCATGCCCCTGGCGTCACCTGCCAGCCCGCCACGAATCGCCAGGAGCCCAGCCAGCAGACCTCTGCAGCTCAAGCCACACGAGCTTAAAAACAGGCTACCCGGACACGAAAGGTTCGGGGCCCAAGGGACATCATGTTGACGGACACTAGGCTGCGTGAAGCTAAATAGCAATTTCAGACAGGGAAGCTGAGGCTTCCTTCTTCCGCCTTCAGGAAGGCAGTTGGAGCTAGAGCTTTTTGAACGGAACTCACTGGCATCCCAGACTCCCTAGGATGTATGCACCCCGATCTTGTCTGACCCGCCTCCTGTTCACCCAGGGCCCCAACCAACTCCATTCAGGCGCACGAGCATTGCATCACTGTCGTCGAGCCAGAGGAGCGTCCTAGCAAAAGTATCCAACCCAACCGATTTCCCAATTCAAGCAACAGTACTGCTGACTCAGGGATCCTACAGTAGTTTGGCACAGGCCTTGGGATGCCCCGGGGCACATGCATTGGCTGATTCTGCTAAGGCACGGGAAATACAGCACCTTCTGGTACCCACGGAAGTCCTCGCAGCGTGTCTTTCGAAATTGCGAAACAAATTTATAGCAAGCCTCTAGACCAAGACACAATGCTGGCGGACTTCTACAGTGACATGTGCATTTGCAAGGGACCTTCCTGACAGTTCTGTGCTCAGGCTTTGGTCCGTTAGCATCGATATCATCGAGATCTATCGATATAGCTCGCCTTTCTCGCTCTGGCAAGAAGATCAGCTACCGGAGAAATGCCTCTCCTTGGCTCAAAACATTTGCTCTCTTCTTGACTGCGTCAATGGTCTTGAACCCTTCAACCTGCAACTGCTGGCAGCTTAAAAGAATAGAAGGCGCCACTGACAAGTCAGCGCCAAAGACAAGTGCACGAAAGGTGGAGCCCTGAAGGCCTCAAAAATGGCCATATTATGGTATATTATAGTAGATTATAGTATATTATGGTATATTATCGTAGATTATAATATATTGTAATATATTATAGTATATTAAAGTATATTATAGTATTTTACAGTGGTATATTCTATTCTCATGTTGCCAGTATAGGATTCCTCTAAATCTTCTCTTCGTAAGCGCCGTCCAACCTGAGCCAAGCATCTTCCCGCAGAGCGGGACAACCTCAGTGGCCAGCCCCGCATTGGCGGCTATAGGTTTAGGGTTTAGGGTTTAGGGTTTTGGGGTAGAGGTATAGTCCCCCTTCAGAAGATTAGGGTTATATTGGGGTTGTATAGGGATAATGGAAAAGAAAATGGAAACTACTAATTTAGGGTTTAGGGCTTTAGGGATCATAGTCCTCCTTCAGAAGATAGAATATGGCTTTGGGTATATCATAACAAGATCCCCATATACCTCATATTTTATCTACTTAAGGGGGACTATACACCAACACGACAATCCCACAAAAGGCTTGGCGTTTGTGTCCGTATGCATTGATGTACACGTTCATCTGCACGGAAACTTCATGGATCGATAGACAGATAGATAGACGCATTCATAGATTCATAGATGGATAAATGGATGGATGGATGGATGGATGGATGGATGGATGGATGGATGGATGGACAGATGAGAAGATACACAGATGGACAGATAAATATAAAGGTATGCAAGTGGATATGCACAGGGCACTATGTCGGGGCTACAAAGGCGAGCGCACAGGGATTAATATGTACTCTCAGTTTGTTGGGAGGTTGGGGACACCGCTTCAGGACCCCACCAAAAAAAAAGGCCTAAAAATTGGGGCCTTGCCCAAGGGGAACCCATTTCAGACCCTGCGCTGGGTACCAACAAACTGCCGCGGCAGTATAAAAGAATATGAAGAGTAATGCTGATTGACGTGGGCGCCGTGGGCACCGTGGGCACCAGAGCTCTGAAATGGGTAGGCTGGGAAAAGCCTAAAATGGCCACGGCGCCATTTCAGACCCCAGGTCTTCTGACCCTCGAGAGTACTGTTTCAGACCTAGTGGAAACTGAGAGTAGTGAACATGCGGAGGAGATGTAAGGAAACGGCACAGTAGCGGGACCCATAAAGTGCGACATAACCGAACGCGGCGAGCCTGCGCTGAACAGTCCGATCCAGGATTCTAAAGGTTCCCAGGAGAACCTCCCACCCCATACCCCAAGAACAAGAAGTCTGGATGCCTGGTTGTGGAAGGAAGCGAAAACCATGACGTAGAGCAATCCATATCCTGGGCGAGAACAGGATAGCCTTGGGTGTGCAACCCTAAAGCTTGAGATACAATGTGCAATCCACTGGTGGAAACTCATAGTGCCCTTCGAGAAAATACAACTTGGAATTCCCGCAAGTCTAAATCAGACCCCCACATACCAAACATATGATCTAAATGCTGGCCGAAAGCCCTCTTTTTTTTGCGTCCAAGGCTCCCTTGGAGACGAGGCCCCAGGCCACTTCCGCCTTAGGACGCGCATCGCTCAAGGCAGGCGCGGCAAACACTGTCCGGGCCAGGCTACGTAGCACAGAAACTGCACTAACAAGCGAAGAAGAAGGACAACCACTAAACTTCACTTGTAGCGGCGTGAGTCCAAGAACAGCAGCACGACAGTTGAAGGCTGCAAAAGGCAAATTGGCACAAGTACGGTCGGTCTGGACATGCAGTTGCATCAATCTCCACTCAAGCTCAAGCATGCAGTCAAGTCAAGGCTATGAATTCTCACATCCATCATGCCGTCCCTTCTCCCAGGCTCCACAAGTTCAGGGCTTAGGGTTTAGGGTGTAGGATTTAGGGTTTAGGATTCTGGGCTTAGGATTTAGGATTTAGGGTTTAGGGTTGGTTCACAAGAGGAGCTCCCCATGCATAATCTCAAGAGCAGAAACCCTGTGGAGGGCCCATAGTGGAAAACAAATCCTTCAAGCTTCGCGCTTTCTGCCCAGGGTGGGTTTCAGGATCTGAGGGCTTTACTTCCGCCATGAGCAGGGCATTTCTCCGAATGGTTCCTAGATACCTCCATACTCCCCGATACTCCTTGTTTTGAAAAAAACCCAGTATTTCTGGGCAGGGACTGCCGAGGCACTGATATACCAATCTCTGGTAGTTCGTCGTCCTAGGGCTGCGGCAAAACCAAAACATGTCCTCCTTTGAGGTATATAGTCCCCCTGAAGTAGATAGAATATGGGGTATAGGGGGATCTTGTTATAATATACCCAAAGCCATATTCTATCCACCTAAGGGGGAGTAGAGGCTGCATATTTACCTCTAAGTTGACTTTGCACAGCTTGTGAATTCTCTCACAAGTAGAAGTTTCCTTTGAGGGTCCGTACCATCTGAATCCTACAGTTGAAGGGGGTACTGTATAGGCTTGAAGGGCAAACAATAGGACACTGATTCCGAGAAGCTCCATTTGAACAACCTGACCTACTTTAGCTCACTTGAGGCGGATCTCTTTCTGGGAAGAAGGCCTGACCACAGCTGACGATGGTGGAATTCCTTTTCTTTTACAGATCTACATCACTGCTTATTCCTGGTCCACTTCTTCATGCTTGCGCTGCTTGTGCATACCTCTAACTTTGGCGCAACTTCGTGTCCAGAAGTTGGTTGCATAGCACCAAAGTAGCCGCCACGGAACACCTCAGCATGACAGTAAGTTTGTCTTGTCAGATTGCGCAGCAAAAGCGGAGGTAAGTCAGCAAGTTGCCATTGCTTCTTCCAGGATGCAACTTTGCTGCTTTGACTACAACAGCAAGAGAAGCAAAGGTTGGATGCCCAGCTGAGTAGCACAACCAGGAAGAGTCGCACCAGCGGCGATTCGATGATGGGAGCCATGGCGCTTGGCTGTGTCAGCTAAGCTTCACTCTTTTTTTTGTGCAGCTTTTTCCTGTGCCACAGCGGCTCTTCAAAATCAAAGCACGTGATTGAAAGGAATGCTTTTCGTTCTGGCTGTGAAAGGAGAGCGAACTGTCTTCCCCATTCGTACAGCTGTGTATGGTCACTCTCCCATCCAGCGAAAAAACACCCCTAAACCTCATTGCACACTAGCGGCCTTCACCTCTCACATGCCCTGACTGCAATGCCTTACCTGCACGCTCAACTTATCCAAAGATTAATGGCAGTCGCTGACAAGTCTCTGCCTGCCAAGCTGGCACACAGACAGGGCCACTCCAGCCCGAGCCAGAGATGCGACTCACTTGACTGAAGGCATCGGAAGTCTTTTCGGCAGGCTTGCTCCAGACAATTCCCAGCTTTTTCCATATTCAGTGAACAAGACAGCTGGGCGGTTTGGAAATTTGCCTTCGAAATGCAAGCAGGAAAATACAAGAAATGGTGCTTCTCTTGCAGCGGCGAAGGCACCCGATAGAATCCCTTCTGAGGCCAGGTTCCGGCTTGCAGTGCTCGTCTTCACTGCACGGGAATGGAGGCACGGCAGAAACCTTACGGACCCAGATGGCTTGTGCTGCTAGCTTTCTGCAGCGCGCGCCATTTAGAGCGTTGAATGTTGCTGCCCAAGGCACATCAGTGCAGCCCTTGTATGTCTCAGCTCCGGGATATCGATCCTAAGTGCGAGTCACAGTTAAAACGAGGGATGACAAGAGGTGGCTGGGGTGGATGCCATATGATATATCCAGAATAAGAATACGCCACATTCCGTCCCAGGCTCGCGGCAAGGAAAATGATGGATGGGCACCACCATGGCCTCGCGCAAAGCTCAGACTGCTCAGCTTCAGAATTCAAGTTAAAAGCATTGGTACTAACATGATAGTAATTAATATAATAAGCATTATAATACCATAACGATACTAATAATAATAATACTCTCCCATTCTCTCTAAAGCTGGTCCAAGGTTGTGTCTAAGTAGACCGACCCCTAGCTCAAACTGTCCTGCCATGTGCTCAGCTCCACTCGCAACGCACAAGAACCGACCGGGGCCTCCACGTCCTGAGTCTCTGGGGCACCTGAAGGCTGGAAAGCAACCGTGTGAGCTGTAGTCTAGACTCCCAGTATCCCCCTTAATGACCTCTATACTATAATCGTCCCCTATGTAATCCCCTATATTATATTGTTACACCTGAAGGAATTTAGACTATAGCTGATGCAGCCTCACCCTCCTTGCAGATGGCCTTCTGCCATCAGGGATAGGCCATCAGCAAGTTCGGACCTGGGATCGATCTAAACTCAAGCCACCGGACAAGTACCAGGACACATGTCTGGGGATGTCTGGGGTTCTTTCTGCAGCCGTACACTGTGTCAGAATTCCTGCTTCATCTCGCAGCGTCAACGTTTGATTCTTTGTCCTTACTACCATCTTGCCCCAGCCTATTAAAAAAAAATGATTTGAAGTCACGGCCGCCGCAACAAAACAAATTGAACCCCAGCATCGCTCCCCGAATCAGGCAGATCTGGCACGCCAACACATCCAGCTCTTTGGCAACCTCGAGGGGGCTGCTTGTTGTGTCTTTCATGCATTGAGCATCATTGAGCATTTGTCAGCTGTGGCTCCCTCTTCATGGCTGGGGTCCCATGCTCAAAGCAGCAACACGACATTTGCTGAGTGCCAAGGCCCACAAAACAGCAAAGCCAAGGAGCTCAAATTCCCAGATCCTAAAACTTGGGGGGGGGGGCTGTTTTGCATTCCAAAACCTGCCATGACCGACAACATGATTGACGAGGTGGAAGGCAGGGCAGAGCCTCTACATTTTCCAGGGCTGGGCCCTTGGACAACAAAACAAAGCCACGTCTCGATACTGGGCATCCCCGCTATCCACAGGACTTACTCAAAAACAAACTTCCCCACGCCATCGCCAGAATCAGTAGCTCCCCCTCAGCGCGCCTCCTCCCGCAAGTGTGTAGTTGTTGCTGAGGCATCCATCTTCAAGGACAGACTGGCCTCGGCTTCGGGGTCTGTAGACGTGCTTTGATTCAGTCTTCTAAAGATCCTCATGCGAAGGAATTGTAGGCCTTGTGGGCCTTTGTTGCTTTTGCGTATTACACGTGCTACTGCTCCAGCTTCTTCGCAGGGACCAAGACTCAAGCGTCTGTAGCTAGGAAGCTTCTGACCGGGTGGTCATTTATCTTGCGGTTTGGGCTACTGTGATCTCTTGCAAGACCGCTTGCTGCGCCGACAACACTGGGTGCTAGAATGGCTTAGGGATCAGACGGACAAACAAAAGTAGCACAACCCGAGAATCGCCGCCCTCGGAAAGCTGCGCAGGTTAACTGGCAATTTCTTGCGCAACACCGGAAACCGCTTTTGACGTCCAATCTAATCCTCATAGAAACCATTCCATTCAGGAGGGGCGCGCCACTCAGCAAGGAGACACTGACGTCGGGCATTGCTTGCTCAATGGATTTGCCCGTGCAAGCCACTGCACTTGTTAACGTGCTATGACGTAGGCTCTAGGCGTGACACAGGCTAGTTTCACGTTGACAGTTACTAACCACATGGCTACTTGATGCTTGCATGCTACCTACAGGTAGCTACTCGGGCCGCATCATGAACGCCAAAACCTTCGAAGCAGTTTACCTATCCGTCTGCTAAACACACAGGGGTGCTACAAGACTGCTGGTACTTGCAGAAAGTCGCCAAAATGTAAACTTCCACTGCAAAAAAGGAACAGGTGCGGGCCAAGCACGCTGATCTGTGTGTCAGCAAAAAGTTTACAGCACCTTTTGCCCTGCTGCAAGACGTGTCCCTGTGCGTGCCCTCAGCCCAAGTTTCCTGGTCAGCCTTAAACTTTTGCACAGCAGTGGGTCTAATGTCTGAAACAATCCAAGTCAAAGGAGACACAGTCCGGAACCCTACTCTATCTGAACCCTCACTGTGGTATGTGGCTGGCTCAGCTGCTTCCAGGCAAGCCAACAGGGGGTCCTGCAACTTTGTTCACGCCAAGAGGCATAGCTCAGAAAACTGACAGGCTGAGCACAAACATCTTTATTGCAACACCTAACCTCGCACCACAAATCGACACAGGCTAGTTCAAGGTCCAGGAGGTCCAGGCTACGTATTCTGAAAGCACTGAACTATCAACTATCATGCTTTGCACCATGTCCTCTCTCTCTGGAGTCTTTCGACTGCCAAGGCCTTTCAAACGAGCCTGAGCAAGTTTCAAGCTAAGAAAAGTATTCACCAGTAACGGTTGTACCGGTCGTCATCCTCGTCCCAGTAATGTCAGCAGCAGCAAAGGCAGCAGCAGCACTGGCGGCACGAGTAGTAGTAGCAGCAGCAGCAGTTGCAGCAGCAGCAGCAGTTGCAGCAGCAGCAGCAGCAGCAGCAGCAGCAGCAGCACCGCCAGCAGCACCGGCACCAGCACCAGCACCAGCAGCAGCAGCGCCAGCACCAGCAGCGCCAGCACCAGCAGCAGGCAGCGGTAACGTGACGGTCGGTGCTGCTGCTGGCAGCGTTAGTGGCAGCACTGGTGGCGAAGGTGGAATTAGCTGTCGTTGTCATTGTCGTCATATTCGTCGTCATCGTACCAGTAACCAGGCGGACTTCTTTTAGCAATCTGCTTCAGTCCTAATCAGCCTCCATACACAGAATCAACGCAGGCAACGCTTATGGCAACGGTAGCTGTTGTATCAAGACATGGAGGATGCAAAAGCCTGTCAAGCTGTAGCCATCACAGGCCTCGTCGCCAGGAGAAGGTGTTGTGCGCTGCACTCAAAGCCTGGCGCTATGCTGTTGCTTTGTGGTTGTTAGCAGGGAATGAAGGAGTGGAAAAGAAAAATGACACTACTAGATTTACTGGATCAACGGGAATATGTTAGTGCTACTACAGCTCATGGTTTCGGGGATTTAAAGCACCCTAGTGTTTAGGATTTAGGGTGTATGCTAACCCCAAGCATACTGTACAAACGCCTAACATGACACTATATACATACTTAGGGTCCCAAACAGTAGTCCCGAAACCCTAAATAAATACCAGGATGCTTTGGGGGGATGTGATCTTCCATTTTCTACTAAAATGCAGCAAGGTCAGGCTGTTAGCAGCCTGACCCTACAAAGGCAAAAGAACCACGGCAAGCGGCAGAAGACTTCATTCACATACTGTATGGTTCTATGCGAAGATTAGAGTCTAGAGCCCTTTTGGGGAGTCCTTACCTACCATCCGGATTGCAAAAATTGGGTTCGATTTGGCGACCCCCCCTGGTTTTGGAAAGTCCCATACACCAATTTGTTGCCTAAACATGAGAATTCTACCAGCCTGGTCAACACAGAATAGCTTCCTAGGAATCACTCGCAAACAGCTTCTAGACTCTCACGGTATATGCGTTGTAACTGCTGATGGTGGTGGCATATTGATCACTTGATGCCTCACTAGCTGCCTTCATCATTAGCAAGGAGAGGGCTGATGGTCTTCTTGCGGTTATGTGGTGGACGATTTGCAGATCGTGGCAAAATGTGTGAGGATTTGCTGCTGGCATTCATCCTTCCAGGTTACACAAACAAATTTAGAAAGACTTACCTGACGAAGATTCACAGCACCCTCTGGCCATTGCATGTATTTGTCAAGCTCTGCAGCTGCAATCTTACCAATCCCTTGCAATCGCAATACGATCACCAGCAGGCCTGTCAGGCCAATCCGAGTAAATTTCCTCTTTTTTCTCTAGATACATCTGCAAATGACACTCTCTAAGAGCGCTTGACTTGGATGATCCGCCCTTGCTGCCAATGCTGCAAAACGGCCTGGCTTGACGGGAGGCCAAGTCCAGCATGATCTCCTGCAGGCAGCGCATCCATTCAAACTGGGCAGCCTACTTCCCAAGCATGCCCTTCGAACTCAAACTTCCACATCAAAAGGCTCATGCCCGTACTGCAGAGAAGAAGCCAGTCCCTAAAAAAAATGAAGCTCCACAACCTCAAACAAACTGTTGCGGAGGCCATCTCAACCATGAGCCTCAGAGCCTCCTCCCACTGCGAGGACCCGCACCTCCGAAAGATACTTGTGGAGGTTGAGCTGCAAGAGGTTCAGGTGAGAGGTAACACAGCAAACCATTGCGTTGAACGCCACTCTCGACTGTAACGTTGGGAGGGATGAGGTGGTGATGGAGATTTCTTAGTCGTGGACATGGCCATGCCCTGGATGAAGTGTTCCAGGCAAGCGCAGCAGGCTCACGGAGAATCCGAAAGCGTTGCTTAGCCAGTGCCCTGAGGCCCAGCATCTCAGGCCTAGAGGCCACCGACATAACATCATCAAGAGGCAGAAACCACTGCAAGGAGATTGAGAAAACAAGCACATTACCTACAGTTTTATGGGTTGATATTGGGATAATGGAGAATCAAATGGAAAAGAAACTGGAACATGAAATGGAAACTGGGGTTATGTAGGGCACTTGGATCTCCATCCCCCCACACTGGGTGCTCCAGTCGGCCTCTCGGTAAGCACGCTCCACGACATGGCCAGGACCAGACCTGTGAACTTCAATCTAGGCTGTGGCTAAGTTCACGGAAACAATGCCCGTGGCCTGTGGCATGCACTTGAAGCACTCGGAGGGGTCCAACAAACGTGAACATAAATGAACTCTGAAGGTCTTGAGGGAGTAACGCAACATTAGAGTCCTCGCCATTAATGCAATGGGTACCCCCAAAAAACAAGACCCAGAACCCGAGAAACTCACAAAACGAAACAAAAATTCTGATTCTTCGCTAAAATCCCAGGTCAAAGTCAAAAATGACCCACAAATTCAAGAATCCCCGTGACGTATAAATCCCCATTTGATCCCAGTTTCCATGTCATGTTTTAATTTCTTTGCCATGTGATTAAGCATTGTGGGCAACATCCCCATTATAACCCCTCCAGGGGGAGCTTCCAAAGACCGAGGCGCCGAAGGTACGACTTGCCGCCAAAGACCTGACAGAGCAACCAGGGCATGCACAGGTATACAGGGGTAGATGGTGTCCCTTTGAAGGGGCTCCATGGGAGCATATGAACATCGAAGCGGTAATGCAAAAAAAGAAACTACTAGGGCTTCGGGTTACCTAAGATTATTGGCATAGGTTCTCCACTCTGCGCGTGGAAGCCTACAAATGTTCATTTGGGTGTCATCTGAAGCAGAGCCAGCAAATCGCATGTACGGGACTGTTTCCTGTTGGGGTCCGCCAGTTTTCACACAGAATCCATGCGAAGTTGTCTGAGCCACAATCAAAACCCCAAGTATCCACCCTCAGAACCCCCTCTATAGTACTCCCCTGTATAATGCCCTATATTCATCCACCTTTAAGGAGTTAAGACTCTAAGCCCGGAACCCTAAACCCTATATGACCTCCCTTTAAGGGGTTTAGATTGGGTACTGCCCCCACTCAGTAACAGTTGGATAACAATTCTAATAGGGTTATATATAGCCCTAAATGGGACCCCTAATATAGACTGTTACTGGAGGGGGGGGCAGTACCCAAGGTTTAGACTATAGCTCAGCTGAAGCTTCGAGGCGGCTGCCTGGGAACACTCTCGGGCAACGAACTCGAAGCTCTTCGTCGCCTGCACCTTCCAGCAAGAAACGGCTAGACCCGACCCTATTTACTTCTGAAACAAGTAAACACCTATCTACTTCCAATTCCCATGTCATGTTTCATGTTCTCTTCCAATTGATTCTCCATTATTGGGGCCATATCCCCTTCTTCTGGTGGGGACTCTGAAATCCTTCCAGCAAGTCCCCAGCAAGTGTACGCATGATCTATTCCATCGGTCACCGGCAGCAATGTATCCCTAAACCCTAGACCTTAGGCCCTGAAGCGTATTTCCATTTTCTTATCCATTGCGTACACCTACATATCCCTATAATCCCGATGTATCCCTACATACCCCCATTTACTCCCAGTAAAGGGGCCCTACATATCCCTGCAGCGAGCACCAAAAGCCATGCGAGCTCTAGTCCAAACTCATGATCCCCCTTAGTAACACTAATTGCTCCCTTATCTAATCCCCTATACAACTCTCTTGAAGGAGTTGAGATCCTAAACCCTGAACCCTCATCCCCAAACCCGAGATAATCGATAGTCCCCCATAGAAACCCATCATATCCCCCTATATACTCCCCTACATAACCGTCTTCTAATGAGTTTAGACTACAGCTCATGGGAAAACGCGCCTTGGCTAAGGCGATGGCGCCTGCCAGCTGCTCCGACGAATCGCTGGGTCGAGGCTTCTGTGCCTGGAAACATATAGTCCCCCTTAAGTAGATAGAATATGGCTTTGGGTATATCATCATAAGATCCCCATGTACCCCATATTCTGTCTACTCAAGGGGGACTATATAGGGTGAGAAATAATAGGATATATGGTGGCTTCCAAAAATTGGAATGCCTTTTTGGGGGACCCCATAATTACGATCTGAGGGGCCAGGCCACGCCACAAGGGTACCAACAAAAACTGTGAAGAAAAAAGAGAAAAAATCTTAAATAGGGTTGCATAGGATTTAAAGTTACATGAGGATTAGATAAGGTTATGTAGGGATAAATAACCCCAAAATGATGGAAAATCATATGGAAGAAAGCCGACAATGGAATGGAAACTTAGGAAATCAAATAGTGCAGGGCTGCCCAAAAAAATCGGGGCTCCTCTTTTTGGAGTCACCGTAATAGGGTCTCAGGCTCAGATAACAAGGATGACCGTGTCTTGGCTTATCTTATGGTACAAGTAAATGTTGGGGTCCCCTATCTATGAAAACTATCACAACTCAGTATAGCCCGTTATAACCGCTGTACCCTATATACCCCTTTACAAACTTTCTAAAAGGACTCTGAATTAAGAACCGCATACATCCGCATATAACATATCATCACATATACTATAGTAGCTTCCATTTTCTTTTCCACTATCCCTATATAAGCCTAATATACTATATAGTTGCTTCCATCATCTTTTCCATTATCCCTATATAACCCCTATATATCCCCGTTTGAAGCCTATATGCTTGCATGTTGGGGGACCTAGCTCTGTTTGCGCTTCGGCTGGGATCAGGCTCTTGGACATCCCTCGGCACGGTCTGATCCCACAACTTCACACTACCTGGGGGCTTCCCAAAAATGGGGTACATGTTTGGGGGTCTCTGTCAGTCTCTGTAGTAAGGACTATACTGGGGTCCCCTGATTTTGGGAAACCGCTACATCCAGGCCCAAGCACACAAACTGAGAGGATCATGGCATTGGTGGCCATCACAAGGCCTTCGCATGATCACTGATGCTTTTCTGGGTTGGCCCCTAAAACCCATTGAAAAATATTAGTATATATGGTCCCTATTAAAGCCATTAGGGAAAATATTAAACATCCCAGGGGCCTACCCAGTTTTGAGATGTTCATGACATCAGGCACTGACACAGCCAACATTCACACCAATCACAAGCTGCGGTCCACCACCACAGACGGAGATGCCACAAGCCCACAAGCCACAGCTTCAAACTCACGGTGTCAACTCTGAGTCTGCCGCGGCCGCACTCCATGAGCTTGTGGCGGATGACCTGGGCTTAGACCGGTGCAGCGTCAGTGAAATCAGCGAAGCCAAACACAACATACCCAAAAAGACCTACTTTGAGTCGCCCAAGACTTACGGCAAACAAGAAGTACCGGCGGATTTCAATGGCACGAGAAATCCTCAAACGCACAGCACACCCAGCACAAGCAGCAGTAGCTCAACAATCACTACCACTGCTGCCGCAGCTATCCCCACCACCACCTAAACGAACACCACGGCCTCCGCCACAGCTACAATCCTCCTCCCCTTCTAACACTAAGAAATCATCAGCCTCAAGCGGAGAAAGCCGCCCGCCTGATGGGACGACAGCGGCTTGCCGAAAGTCTTCCGAACCTCCCAGAGCCAGCACTTCAGCTCTCTTGAGGTAATGGCGTTCAGGAAAAGGGTATTACACTTAGCGATCCTGGGGGTAGACGACAGTGACAACAGGGCATTGCTAGGAGGATTCCGTTGAGGAACATTGCTGCCAACGTGATCGTGCTAACGCTGCAGATTGGCATGAATGCTACAGCTATCATGAATGAACATAACAAATTGAATGCCTATTCTGAATCTTCCGTGTCTGATCAAATCACCAAAAGTGTTTAGGTGCTTGATCATTTGAGGACTCGGTGGAAGGGCTGCTGCCAAGACTCCTGCGCGTATTTGGCCTTAGCAGAAGGCATTTCAAGCGCAGAACTACAAGTATGGCCAAGGCCCCACTGTACCGACTTATCAAAAGCCCCAACAGGCAGCGAAACGACGAGGACCGCACCGCCTCTTCAAGGCAGACTCGCGCCTTTGCGCAAGAGCTATTGTCTGAACTAATAGTATCCGCCTGAATAACCCCCATAACCCGATATAGCTCCCCTTTAAGGAGTTTAGACTGTAGCTCAAAATGCTTACAGGCAGTTGCCTGCACGTGGGAAGATAGGAGCAGATATGTTGGACTGCAGCGGAGAGCAGACTCAGATGCCATTCCCATGAAGCAAAGCAAACGAAGTGCTGCCTCGCGGTTCGCCGTAATGGCTAATGCCAGCCTGGTGCTCGCTCAACTTTCTGAACTACGGGCTGTGGCGTCTTCTGCATGCTTCTGCTACACCGTGCACTGCCAGAACCCCACCGGACCGTGTGGCATTTGCGAACGACAGTGTCAGTAGCTCTCTATGTGCTCTGAAGAATGTCGCATCATGTCGCATCTCTCCGGAGTTGCAAGCCTCTCATTGTTGAAGTTGCGCATGATGGCCAAGAAACCATCACCTGACATCATCGATTTGTTGAAACGGCGCTGAGACAGAGGCGAACGCCAGGAAAAGACAACATTCGAAAAACTGACATCATGGATTAGAATTAGGAACCGGGGCATTGAGAAATCGTTCAGACGAAAAATTGATCTTGCATGCACTCGGTGTCAACGGCAAGACAAATTCACTCGACTGCAGCAAAACGCACAACGTAGTGACTTTGCCAACTATGATTATGGGCTCTGCCAATGTACATCCATTGGCAAGAAGTCCACGGTCATGCACATCGCAAGTCATCAGCAACTCGTGACGACTGTCAAGCCTTTACCGGCCTTCGCCCCCCAGCAGATTTTCAGCGGGGACTTTCACTTCGTCAAAAGTCACCAAGGTCCTCACGTGCGTGGAAAGCCCATGACACCCGAAGAACGCAAGATGTGAAACCAAGCTGATAAAGTATAAACTTTCTCGACCTGCCCGACCTGTGCTGCTCAGCGGCGTGGTGCTGAGATGCCAGCCTTGCGTCCTAAGCGTCACCAGTCTACGCTGTAGGCATCGTTAGCACCAAGGATTGGAAGACATTACATGGTTACACCAGCATCAGAATGCCTCAAGATCTTACAAGACTGGACGAAGAGAACTGCTTTAAATCCTCAACCCACTTGCTTCGGGAGCACTGCAGTCGCGCTGTGTTCAGCCCATCGCTCGAGCGTGGCACCAGAAGCAGCGAGATGCCCTGTCAGACTCTGATTTTTTTGAGGAACAAAGCCCGTTTCTTGCCATGAAATGTTGAGCTGCGTGTGATGGACTCGCAAGTCCTTCACAGCCCTGACGCTAGGCCAACACCCAAGCGCATCAGCCCTTCTGAGCATGAAGACCCAGCTGAAGGAAATGACGGCATCCTTCAGCAAAGGTCCAAACTGGCGCGCCTTGCTGCCGGTTTTGCCACTCGTGCGAACACCTGTGGTAAAGTAATCAGCGTTCATCCCCCCCGAGATGAAGGTCTTCTGGCCGTTCACCACCTAAGTTTTACCAGCAGGCTTAGATCCCGTAGTCAAACATTGCCAATGCTCTAGCAAGTACAAAGATCTGTGCGCAGCCTTTGGCAGCTGGTTGCGTCCAGGGCTCGTAATGCTGACCACTTGCATCGAGAACCTCTGCTACAAACCAGGACTAATTATGCAACATCCCTGGAAACTGATTTGAAGTGTTTTGTGATTTTGACACCCACATGACCCCAGGGCAATTGTCCATTCCACAATGGAGCACCGCTGTCGTCTGCACGTTAGCCACGTCGGAGCCACCGCCGGGCTCGGTGACGGCCAGGCAGCAAGTTTTCCTCGGCTTGCAGCGTTTTAGTCACTTGGAGGTTCATGGGGGTAAAAAACAATGTAACCGATGATAAAGCATCCACCGACCTCTGGGGGGACGTATTGGATGGTTTCAGGAGACGGAGGGTGGAAACCCTCTTCTTTTCTGGGGGCGGAAAATTTCGGTGGGGGTCTCCACATCCGAGGCAACCGTCAGGCCGGACCCCAACCCAGGGCCCGTTGGTGCCTTGGCGCCTCGCGAAGACAGAAGCCTCACGGCAATCTGCAAGATCCTTCTTGAACTCACGGTCCTGCGTGCGCGGGTCGCGGGCTGCGTCCGCTCAGCTACCTGGGGCCTGGGGAGTCCCGGCAGCCTCGCTTGAACTACTCTCGTTGCGCCGATTGGTCTCGTGCCCAGCCACTGAAAACATCAAGGTTTAGGGTTTAGGGGTTTGGCTAGGGTTTATAGGGGGTTAGGGTTTTGGGTTAATGCCGTCGTTGCGTTCGGGGCCGCCGCCTTTGGGTCGGCGGACTGAGCCGGAGGCTCTTGCAGCATGAGTCCAGTCAAGGGATCATAGGTACAGTGAGAAAGCAAATAATAAGAAGTTACTATGTCCCATGAATCTTGATGCTGCCCGTGAGACACCCAGCACGCGGACTCAGATTTCGCACCTCTTCTAAGACGGACGGACATTTACACCCACCGTTCTCATCCAAAAAATCCCTTTTGAGCATCCCCTCTCTTTGCTGGCAAGCTTCTGCCCCGTGATTACTTGTCCTCGGCGAGTGCAAGTGGAATGGCTGCTGCAATTGCGAAGGAGTAACAACAGTACACACATGCCTGAGAACGACAGTCCAGGAGAACTGGCAAGCACATGTCGAACTCTGTCAGACAAACAAATCTGATTCCAAGACAACAAGACCTCCTGGTGCTTGACCGTTTCTTGCAATCTCACACGCCAAGGAAAAACTGAATTTGATCCCAGCAGCTCGCAATAGCCTGCCCAGGATGCAGCAAACATGCCCATCCTTTGAACGGCAAAAGGCCCGACCTGACCTAAGCCCTGCATGATCCAAGCCTCCATGTTACTAAGCCGAGTTCTGCCCAACACAACAATGTAACAATAACTGGTACGTTCCCAGTCTACAAGGCAAGGTCCCCTCTCCTCCTTTTGCTTCTCGGAGCCCAGCTCCTGCTTTCACACGTGTATGGAAGCTGACATCGCAGCATACTGCAACAACAGCGTGCAAGGACTCATGCCGTGCTCCAGCACAGGAGGCAGCGAAATGCTGTGTGTCAGGAGGGAACCATAAAGACCTTGCAGCTGCGGTCAAGGCTGCTACATGCTAACGTGATGCTAAAAATCAATACAGACGAGGTCGACACTTGAAGCCCAAATGCTGTGCAGCAATCACTTGAACGAAGTATTGAACTGGCCTTACCACTATTTACCGAATCCAGCGCTCAGACGACAGGAGGGGGACACTTGCGTCACCTGCAAGTCTAGCCACCGCTTGCACACGGCCGCGCTAGCTCATCGTAGAAGATGAAGTAATGAAACCTTGCAGGAGCTGAACACTTTGCCGCCGCTTGCTTTCTTGGATCCTTCGAGGCACCACTGCTGGGACAGTCGCATGTCTGCTTCTTCAGCATTTGGAAAAGTACCACCGTACCTCTTGTGCATTCTTGTGCTGCAAAGTGCCAGGCACAGGGAAGCCCACTGACTTGATAGTTCTGAAATCAGAATTTTATGCCGGAAGGTCACGTTCACGCAACATGCTTTCCAGATTTGCTGCGTGGGGCACTTCTCGGGCCAGAAAGCTCCATAGACGCCAGCCTGGAGCTATCAGTTGCTGCAGCTTCAGTTCTGCATCCTGACCATAACCTCCTTAAAAAATACCAAAAGTATCCAAAACAGCAACCCCCCTCTAAGGCGCACCATGCTTCATATCTGCGCCAGTTCTGCTGCTGCCAGCCCTTCTGCCTCGTAGGCACGGCGGTGGAGGTCCTTTGGAAAGGCCCCAGCCTCCTCCCACTCCTCAGCGGCTGATTGGCTGATCTCTACAAATACTTTGACAACCTCTCGGCGCGAAAGTGCCACCAAACAGATAGGTCAGTCGGGATTTGTGCGTCTTCTGCGTGAATGTGCTGCTACACCGTAGCCGCTAGCCATGCTTGGTTAGGTTGTGGTGGTGCATCAGCACCAGCATGTCCAAAAACAGCGCTGCACTGCACAACAAGTGGCGAGAATTTACAGCTGGCAGCTGCTTAGACAAAATCGACTTCCAACCTTCTACAGTCAACAGGAAGTCCAACCAGACCCGATCCTAAGAGACATGAAACACGACCAAGTCGCATCTACAAAAGGCAAGACCTCGTTCTCCACAAACCTGTCTTTAAGGCTCAGGCTAAAACAAAGCTTTCAGAAACAAGGGCTGTTGGTAAGTCTGCTTGTGGGGAGGTCATCAACATCAGAATTTCTTGGGTTCACCGCCGCGCTTGGCATGGAAGCGCTGAACACACACAAGTTCACGTAGGTCTTGCCCTGCAAGTCACAGCCTGGCGCAGGTCTCTCGGAACGCCCGATGTTTGGGCGTGTATGCGCCTGGCAACTGAGAGCATCAGAAACCTAATTCGTTCTCGAAGGAGGTTTAATTCTAGGCGAAAGGCAGGCCATGTGGACCAGTGCCACTCAGCAAGCAGTAGTCTTTCATCCGTCGAACGCGCAATCACCAACACCCTAGCTATCTTGGCACTCGAGACATTCTCAGCCACCTACCACCCGGATCACTCCAAAAAGTTGCTCTTGGGCTTCTCAAGACCAATCGACCAGGTCTAATCCCAAGCTGTACTGGGTCTCTTCGTTCTCCTGGCTGCAAGGATCCGAGCCAGGCCGTGCTGATCTAAGATATGTAGACAAAGCTACCACAGGTTAAGCAAGCAGAATACAATATGCTGGGGGGGAACAACCGTCCTGCAGGTAGACGCGGATGCTC